TGTGAATACACACTTGCTACTCCCTATGCACTAATGAGGTTCTTAATCTTAGATTATCAAATCTCAATCACCTCACTAGGCTTTTGCTCTCCCTTGCACTCCAAAGGTGTTTCTTAGCTGAACAAATGGGTAAGAGACCTCCCATGGACGAGTGGAGTAAGTATTTATACCCCTTCATTCAAAACATAACGTTTGGAGGCTGAGTCATCACTTTGTGGGCTGACCGGATGCTCCGATCAGGGTGATCGAACGCTCCGGTCAGTTGTACCCGCCACTATGACAGAGAGAGCCGTTAAGCTCTGACCAGCATCCGGTTAGCACCCACCGGACGCGTCCGGTCAAGAAAAAGCCTCTCTAAAACCTCTCTGGAGTCGACCGGACGCAGGCAACCCAACATCTGGTGCTCCTCCACTCAGCGTCTGGTTAGTACCAGATGACTGCAGATGATTGACCGGACCCTGATCAGCCTGTCAGCACACACCGGACGCGTCTGATCAAGAGAAAGCCTCTCAGGAGTCGACCAGACATAGGCACCCCAGCGTCTGGTGCTCCTCCACCCAGCATCCAGTTAGTACCAGACGATTGCAGTTGATCAAATGAACTAATTGGACTCACCCTCCAGTGTTCGATCACAACCAGACCATCATCCGGTCAGAACCAGATGACTGTAGTTGATCAAATGAACTGACCGGACTCACCCTCCAGCGTCCGATCACAACCAGACCAGCGTCCGACCAGTCATTTAACCCTACATTCACTTCCAACTTAAAATCCTATGTGAATGAAGTTGACTCAATTGATATTAGGGCTACTCCTAAGCTACCTAGTGCTAGGTTTGACAAGTATGCACCACACCTAACCCACTAGACTCACCAAGGTCAAGCTACTAGTCCATACCCCCTTAATAGTACGGCCAAAGGAAAAACAAAGTCCTAAACTACTCTAAGTGTCTCTTCAACTCCAAATGACACTTAGAACTAGCCGTCCTTAACCTTGTCATCCATCCTTTAAAAACCGAAATAAATTCTATCGACGGGGGCATGAAAACCATAATTATCCAATCAATTTCCATTACCATGACCTAACTTAAATTGCCTCTACAAAACACACGTTAGTCATAGTAATCTCGTGTCGTCATTAATCACCGAAACTCAACTAGGGGCCTAGATGCTTTCAATAGGAATCTACCTCACCTATTGTTCTCTCGAGTTGACTAGTTTACTTTATCTTTATAGATCTATCCCCTGAGTGTCATTATGCTTAATTCCTATCTATATATTTACCCTCTACTTAAGCTATGCTGGTATGTTGATAGATATTCCTCTATTACTCAATAAGTCTTACTCTATTGTTTCCCTGTGGTAAAATATAAATAATGATATCTGAAATACTCCCGGTAAAATGCTACAATGGTATTCTGTGCACTTGCGGAATCCTTCATATTCTTTTTGCGTTAATAAATACCAACATCAACAGAGCTGCATATTCCATGATTGAGTGTTAGAAATCTAGAGGTCAATGACTGCGGAGGGTAGTGGCATTGTGGTGACAGGTAGTAGCAAGTGGTCGTGGATAGAGTTCCAGATCGAACACCATGGAGCTGACCAGATTGAAGTGTTACCTACATGGATCTGATAGACAACATTGGTGTAGAGTTCTTTCTTAACCTGCAAAATGGAAGACTAAAAAATGGACCTAGGTCCACTAGTATTAGCAGTCCAGAAAGAAGTGTTGTGGAAGTATTTAGCCTTGAGGACAACAGTGAGGAAAGGATTTTTGTTATTCGCAATGTCATAGGCAACATGAGTGAGTAGACTTCTGTTAACAGTATAAAGTTCTCTGATGCCTAGACCACCATTTTTCCTTTTGCTGGCAAATGTCCTCCCAACTCCTAAACCATGGCCCATCAGAATCTTCTGATGATTGTGTTGATTTTTCCATGAAATTCTTGGAGAAAAGAAAAGTGGACATGTAGTAGACAGGGATGGAGAAGAGAACATATTTAATGTAGGTGAGCCGACCAGCGTGATTGCGCTTGTTAGCTTTGACCGTAGTCAACTTGGCTCTAAACTTGTTGATGATAAAGGCATAAGCTCTATTTCTGTCATTGTAGTTGAAGATGATGGGATGACCAAGGTGCAAGGTGTTGGGGAGGAGATCATGGACAGGGAAGATGTCTCTGATCTGAGCTTTGGTGTGGCTGTCAACATTATTACTAAAGAGGATAGAGGACTTCTAGAGGTTGGGAGTCTAAGCAGAGGAGTTGCAGAAGTCTTGAATGATGCGACGGTATATGGCATGAGATGCATCACATAGAGAAAAAGTGATAAGACAATATCTATCAGTGCAAAAAGTGACCAACACGTAAATATTTGTAGTTTTGTTGTACGTTGTGATCAGAGGTGGCCTAACACTTAATGACATAGGGTTTATAGTGGTTCAGGCAATGTGCCCTACGTCCAGTTTGAGTCAGTCGATGACTTTATTCCTGAGCCCAGGTGCTCGAAGTTTGTTGTGGGGTTACAAACGGAAGGGAGAAAGATGGGGGGTACAAGAGGACCGATCGGACTCTGATCTGAAGGCCCGAGAGTGACGGGAGCTCCGCTATGTGCTGTGTGTTCGAGCATGTGCTCGAGGTTTAAACCTAGTGGTTCTGCTGTTGTGTGTTAGTGAACTAATTGATTCTCTTGTTTGGGAGAGAGCGCATCCCCTTTTATAGATGAAGGGGATGTCCTTACAAGTGAGAGGGAGATAGTGTACGTATACTAAGTCTTGTTGCCCACGCCGTCTGGTACAAGATGATTATAGGCGCCTATAACACTGTTAAATGTCATATGCATGTGGGAGGTTGCGTCGTCTTCTTCTGGTATGGCAGACATCGGTGCATGCCATACTGTTGATGCCGAGAGGTGTGCTGGGGGTTTTACCATGTTCGCATAGTACGGTAAATGTCGACGTCCACAACATTGTTGATGTCCAGAGGCATGTGGGGGGAGCCTTACCGTGTTTATCTGGTATGGGAGTTGATGGCGCCCATAACACTGTAGGGAAAATATCGGCGCCTACAACACTGCTTGAGAAGGTCGTAGGATATTGTCCTACAGGTGTACAGGGTACGGTCCTTGGTATTACGGTTGACTTGAGTGTCCTGCCTTACTTTCTCCGTCCATTTCCTGGTCCTTACCGAGCGGGCATCCCCGGTCGGTTAGTCTCAGTCAGCTCTGATTGCGCCAGTTGGAGAAGAGCTGTGAGTAGGGGTTCGGCGCATCCCCGGTTGGGGACGTGGGTCAGAGTCGGAAGTGGTGTTTGGCCAGGCCTTCTGGTCGGAGAGGCCGTCTGGAGGTGGGCCGGAGTCAGAAGCGAGGCCTTCCGGTCGGAGAGGCGGGCCGGAGTCAGAAGCGGGTGCCGTTCCTTCTCGGCCAGGCCTTTCGGTCGGAGATTGGATCGCCCTTCTGTCCTGTTGTTTGGGTATTTGGGCCGGTCCATGAGTTGCGCGTCGTTTGCAACGTTGTCTGCTAGGCCGAGACTTTGTTGGGAAGTTGATCCATGAGGGACCCCGGGTTTATGAACCCGACAATATCTATTTTGTTATTGTTGTGCATGTTATCATATTAACCTTTGCTCCATCCCTCTTAATAAGTCTTAATCTATTTGAAAAAAATGAATCACTTATATGTATTGATAACAAAACACTAAGAGCAACTCCAGTAGAAATCCTTAAATCATGATTTTTATTTTTGTTTTGTGGACTTTTCTCACTTTTTAAGGTCTACTTTTTCATCTACTCTAACAGGAGCCTTTAAATCCCTTATAGTCAACCCTGGCATATGGGGTTAACTCCTTATTCACCTATATCTATCATCATTAGAATCGACTGAGCTATAAGGTCACAGGGAGGAAGGCGAGGAGCATCAGGGACGACAAAGGAGAAAGGAGCCATGGTAGGGTCGAGTGTCTCGCCATGAGGAGAGGAGCCACGCCGGACAAAAGGGCTCCGCCAAGGAGAGAGAAATAGGACGATGACTGGGTGAGTGGAGGAGAGGGGGACTTTCCAGGAAGAAGTAGGAAACTTTCTACACACCTATAGAGATATTTCTATAAGCTCTAATATTTTATTTGTATTCTTTGTATCATAATCTATTTATAGTTTTTTTTGGATTTTTAGAAGCTTAGAGATATTTTTCTATGGTTTCAAAACCTTACAAAATATTTATTACTCTGTTCGTTTTAGTTTTTTTAGATACATTGCTTTATATATGTATCTAGATAGAAAAACAAAAAACATCTTATAATTTAGAATAGATGGAGCATATTTTCTAAAGAAAAAAGCCAACAGTTCTGATAATTCAGGGTAATATGTGTTGTTTTACTTGAGAAAATAAATCAGATTAACGATGATAATTCAATGGGATATAATATAAGATACAAATGCATGCAATCAAATGACTTAGGGCATGTATGGCCCAGCCGCACCTTCTAGTACGGCTACATTCACAAGCCTAGCCTTAGGCACTTCCCTCTAAAAAAGGGTTGACTTCAAACCTAGCTAGCTCCTGTAGCGTGACGGGTGGTAGGTTTTTAAGGCTTGGGTTCCTCCTCACAACATATTGCACTGTTTACATGAGGCGTTTTTATCTCGAAAAAAACCACGATTTAGGGCTCCTCCCCCCCTGCTCTCTCCAACACTGTAGCGCGAAGCAGAAGCCCACGGAGCCGGAGCCCAACAGGGGCTTTAGTTGGGCCGAGAGAGAGAATTTTCCTCTCTGTGGCCTCACTTCTCAGAATCTCAGATCGATCGTGAAGGAATCACGGCGATTTCACCGAATTTTTCCCTGCGACTTCCTGCTGGCGGTGCCGCACCTCAGCTCCACCGATAACTACAGAAAGTACACCCATCGGCTCCAACGACCCCTCCACCGCTGCTCCGCTTCCCTCCCTCGTGCTCGCCGCCCCCACTGAGCTCCAAGCCGAGGAGGCGGCCTCCGCAAGCGCGCGCAGCTATGGCAGGTGAGTTCATCCCCACTTCCTCCACTGCTCCCACTTCTCTAATCCGTGCTGCGGCGCTGTATAGCTCCTTCGATTTGTTCGTCCGGATCGAATAGTAGGCGAACCCGAAGAACCCATGGATCGGCTAGTCTCTCCCTATAAGCCTCGGAAGGTTCGGGAGGGTACGAGCGTGGGCTTCAGATATCGTAGCTGAACAGGGGGCATACATGTGGACGTTGTTCCTCTAGTAAGATGTCTCGGAAATCAGGGGAACTGTTTGGAAGAGAAACCGAAATATTATTTTGGTATTGTTTGACTAGCAGGAGAAAAACCCTTAGCATGTCCAAGTCCAATAAACATGGTCTACACTTAGTTTTTTTGGGAAATTTACATATCATTTTTAGGCAATAATGTTTATTTGTATATATTTAAAACATTGCTGTAAAAATTGTAGAATGAAGCCCGGAACTTTAAACCTAAAACTCTTTCTCAGCCTGTTCCTATGTACTCAACGTCTTAAATTAAAAGAGAACAAAAAACAAGTTAGCGAACTAGTCCACATTCGGCCTGACCTAGTGTGTCCCACACAGACCTTAGGTCCGAAAACTTAGGCCCGGGCCATGAATTTGCCGTGACAGGCGGCTTGCGACCGTTGTCGTATTTGTTATGGACTCTTTGAATTAATCTTGGCCTTTAGATGATCATAACATCTAATAATGTTGGTTGAGTCATGGCTAGCCTTGGGAGAGGTGCAGGAACGGCTCGAAGGAATGGCTTATGGAAGAATTTCTTTTAAGACTATGTAGAGAGTAGAGATTTGAATACCACTCTTGCCTGTTCCATCCACAATTGCTTAAAGGATAAGTCCAAATACTGGCTACCGAAAACTCAATGTTTCCTTTGGTTATAGTAAAGGATAGGATGATGCCTACCCCACCCTGTGCCCTTTGTAAGGGGAAAGAGAAGAATGAGGTTGGACACCTTTTGCTGTCTGTCATTGAGAACAAGGAACCTAAACATTGGTGTGCATTCATTATGTCGAGAAAACATTCTTTGCTAGGCTAAGCACACCTTTCATTCAATATTTGTATCAACATGTCAAAGAAAAGATTAAGCTAGCAGTTTGTTAAGATACCTTCAGGCTCTGAATTGTTGATAAGTGTACTTAATGTGACCGAATATTTAACATATTTCAATATGTATGCTGCTTCTCGTTAATTGTTTGTTTCTGTGGACTGAGTACATGATCCTTGCTTCTGCCAATTAGTTATGCTGGTCCATTTGACCTAACACCCAATGTTACTGGTTATGTTTGAAATTAAAAGGGCAGAAAGTTTGCAACAACCTCTTCAATATCCTTCATTATGTTTGTAAATTTGTTTAAATAAATTACTTCAGAATGATACCTTATTAGAAGACTAGTAGCTGTTGATTTGCGATGCACCTTTCTAGTTATATGAGGTGGCTGGGAGCAGCATTATCTATAATAATGTCAGTAACTGTCAGAGGATTGTGGAACAAGGGGATCAACATGAACACGCTCTCACTAAGAGTTGGATGTAGAGAAGAAAACACAGAATATCTATGGTGGTGCATGTGTGGTCCAAAATTGGTCTGGTCCCACATGAGGTCCCTTTTCTGTTTTGATCAATTAGCGGATTTGTAAATTGAAATCAACACTTCAGCCTTCACGTGGTGTTGGTCCTATAGGTTGTGAATATATCCGCCTCTGCCCAAAGAAGATGTTCATAATCATGATGCATATTCAAGTGAACCATTCCACCCTGGCTAAACCACATCCCATGAATAAAAAGCACATTAGCTCACTTGTACCTAACTATCCAAGTTCTTGTGCCAAGTTGAGAAAAAAAGTTTTTTGAAAGAAAGGGAACAAATTTTAGCGATTTGCATTTAGCTGATGAAAATTTATGTATTCATCCATGGTATTTGAGAACAAACGAAAACAAACCAATTATCTTGTACAATATCTTAATTGATATTAGAGGGAGATCTGATAGATTTGGCAATTTGTGCAGCATTATCAGCGAAGACCATACAAAATGCATTCTTGGCACAACACCCACGGACTAGGCATGGTACAAGATATCCCAGTGACTTTTGTTCGCTCAATACCCGCAGCTCGCATTCCTTCCAGGAATGTAGATTGACAGTGGCTGATTCTTCAGCCAAATGGTTAAATACCACATCGACACTATGGACTAGCTTCAACAAACAAGCAGGCATTAGCTGCAATGGTGTGTTCTAGGCTCTCATTGATCAGGTTGCTCACTAGTGTTACGTTAGAGATTGTTTTCGCTTGTTCACTTTGAAGATTTTATTTCAGATAATGTGTAACTATCAATGTCAAATCACAGCTTGGGTCCTTATTTTAGGTATTAGTATGTTTAATATGCATGCATGTCCAAGTGTGAAATATTGCTTACAGTAACTTCATTGCAGCTGCTCAAGGTGGCACCGTTGCCCCTTCCTCTGAGAAAGTTGAGTTTCTGAAGCTTCAAAATGGCAGGTATATAGGTCCTTTGACAATCTAATTTGTTTACAGTGATATAGTCTCATTTTACTTTATAAATATAATATTAGAAAAATTAGGACTGAATGTTGCATTTTAAATACCATGTAAGTGTTACTGAGTTGCTCAGCTGTTTTGACAAAGGCCCTTTTGTGAGTGTTAATTGCTCAGGTGTTTTGACAGAGGTTCATTTTTTTTGGTATTTTGTGCACAGTGGTATGGAATGGTCAGAGTGGACTTTATGACATTAATTAACCTAGTAACAGGGAGGGGCTGGGACTGCGAGTTCATATACTCCCTCGGTTCAATTTATAAGGCGTACTCTAACATGGCACGGTCTCCTAAATTATACTTTGATCATTTGTTTATTTTATATTATATTGTCTATGATTATAAGGTTATAATTATTGTAGTACATTTTATTATAAATCTAATAGTATCAAGTTTGTATTACAATAGTTAAAAATTGCTGGCCAAATTATTGGTCAAAGATTGTAAAGTTTAACCATTGACTTATGCGAAATGTCTTATAAACTGCACCGGAGGGAGTAGATGCTGTTAGTTTTGTGTGTTATTTTTTTTTCAAAGAAAGGGGCTATAACTATGTTTATAGAAGGTAGTAATAAAATACCTTTGAGCAATAAATTAGTGTTCTTCTGCAGAATATTACAGTTTTACAGATATTCAGCAATATACAGTTAAGCCTTTTGCTGTTTGCTTGCATGGATCATTATATTAGTAGAAATCATACAGATGAAGATATGTGTTAGCATGTGCGATACATGTCATGCATGTTATCCTATGTTCTGATCCGCTCCTCTTTCGACATGAATTAATTACTTGACACTGGTGTTGGCAGGGGCAATTGGTGCTCTCAGTTGAAATTCTTATTTCTTCTCTGTTAACCTGATGTATTTCTGTCTTATGCAATTTTGTAAAACCTGACACCAAACGCAATACCTTCTTCATTCCATGGACCATAGATAAGAACCATTTGATCTAATTTATGGGCCTTGATGATCTATTTGGAGTAATGCAATTATTGTAAACTATAATGTGAAATTTGGTATAACAAAGTTGATGCCATTTAAAAATAGCTTTATTTATCTTTTTTTTAAATAATAGCTTTTAGAGACAGCTATGTTGGGACTGACTACCACATTTGTTAAAAATGCTAATGAGTGAATCAGTTAAACACTTAAAAAGATGTTCTTAGTTTGTTTTAAGTACAGTTTATATATGAAATGCTTTTATCGAGGCTCTTTTTTGGCAGTGATATTCGGGGTGTTGCTGTTGCTGGGGTTGAAGGTGAGCCTGTCAACCTCACGGAACCTGTCACTGAAGCTATAGCTGCAGCTTTTGCTGCATGGCTGTTAAACAAGAAGAAAGCAGATGGTTTGAGACGTTTAAGAATCTCTGTTGGACATGATTCACGAATTTCTGCACATAAATTGCAGGTGGATCCTGTTTTTTGTTCATTTAATTAATCTTATGAACCAAAATTACACATATTTTAATCCTTTATTATTGGGTACCAAAATCCTGTTTCAACTAGTGATAGTTCCATAGTTTGGCCTTCTCCCACAGGGTTATAACAAGCATCTATAACCACGTGACAAATATTTCAGTACTTGTATGTTTGTTGTGTTGCAACTTTCTTCTATTGATAATCAATGAAAGTCACTAGTATTTGTTTCTTTTTTTTTTTCCACAACGGCAGAGCCGAATTTCATTACTTGACAGCAACAAAATTACAGAAGTTGTTTTAACCGAAAACCAGCACCATGTCTAGCGAAAAGCCACATTGGCATGAACACACAGGGTTCACCCAACTGGCACAAAACTCTAGTATTTGTTTCTTGGTGGCAAGTTCTTGTAAATATGAAAACTGGGCAGAATCCCTTCTTACATGAAGGCATGTGCATGCTTAAATTGAATTTATGGTTTGATGTTGGTGAAGTATAAGCAAATTAACCATTTTTCCTCGTTAGCTTAGGCTTTTTTGTTTACCTGGTTGGTGCATGCAACTCAATATGGTATAAGGGCTAGAGTTCTCAAGTTCGACCTTGGCAGGCACAATTAAATAAAATAATTGAAGCAGGCTCCTATTTCAGCATCTGCCTAAGGAAACATGTATATGTCTGTTTGTTTGGTGGTGTGTGTGTATGGGGTGTGGTGGTGGTGGTGGGTTGGGGGGTGTGGGTTGAAATATAAGTACACCATTCGACTCACATAGATACATTATGCCTCAAGGCAAGAGTTGTCTTCTTTGCAGTAATAGATGCATTATGCCTCAAGGCAAGAGTTGTCTTCTTTGCAGTTTATTACAGGATTAGGCAGTGATCTGATTTAGATTCACCTTGTTAGTATGTTCTACTTCTAACTCTTTTTTTTTGCATTGTTTTTATAAATAATTAATTATAAATACATCTTTATGGTAAAAACAAAACAAAAAATATTCAGATCTGACAAGTTTACGATGTTTGAGCAGCACACGTGCCATTTGTTTTTTGTGTTATTAGCTACTAACAAGTTATTGTTGTCAGAATGCAGTTACTCATGGAATCACTTCTGCTGGACATGATATCCTACAGTTTGGGTGAGTTGAACCTTTATTTTTGTTTACATACATTTATGCAAGATCTTCTATGTTTATAGAGCTATTCAAATTTAGACACCAGAAGCGTGTTCTTTGATTCCCTCTATCGAGTTGCATGCACCGACTAGTTCAACCCAAAAACTTAAGCTGATAGGGAAGATGGGAAATTCACTTTATATTCCAACACTCCCCCTCACGTGGAGGTTCCCTCAGACCTCAGGCGTGGAATAGGAGCGGGCAACAATTATTTTATTTAATTGTGCCTACCAGGATTTGAACTCAAGGCCTCTAGCTTTGATACCATATTGAGTTGTATGCACTGACTAGTTCAACCCAAAAGCTTAAGTTGATGGGAAAGATGGGAAATTCACTTTATATTCCAACACCCTCGTCATGTGGATTCTTTCCCTGATAAATTTCACACATCAATTCTTTGGAATCCACAATGAATAATTCTAACCATACAAAATGGTTTCAATAGCTTCTCTGCTTTGATAGTTTCCTCATAACTTCGTTACCTAATAATCTAACAGCTCAAAACAAAAAGACAGATATTCAGTTCTGACAATGGATTATGCATATATGTAGATTGGCTTCAACACCTGCAATGTTCAACAGTACACTTACAGAAGATGAGAGAAGTCATTTACCTGTTGATGGAGCCATAATGATAACAGGTATTTTCTGTAGTTTGATGTGTCATTTTAAAACAAATTTCTATGTACAAAATTGCAAGGCCTTTGCAAAGGCATACAAACTTGCTACTTGCCACATGAGTTATGTCACTAACACTATTTTTCTTCATCCATTGGAGTTTCGTTTATTTAGTTTGAGCATGGTTGATCATTGTTACTTTGTAACCTGATTACCTTGGATGGTCCAACACTTGTTTGATGTGCCAAACTTTTTTTTAATTGCGCCATGCAACTAAACGGGATTCATGACATCCATAATTGCCAGTACTTTAGTGGATGTTTCTGAGAGAACTTATATATCTCCTTATGCGCAATGGTGGGACTTCAATATCTCTGATTTTCTATCTTGGTAACAAATGACTTCATCTGGTTTCAGATCTAAGAAAATCAGCTCATTTAACTCTGGTATATGTAGAAATGTAGAACCTGGCCAGATGTATCTTTTGACTTATTGCTACCTTCTTAAATCAAATGAGGCATCATTGTATCATAGAAAAAGTCCAAGCCCACTCCTACTTTTAACGAGTTCCAATTTCTGTCAGCTATTAGCGCTCACTCTGAACTCATTTCAGAGATGATTATTGTTTGCTAATCAATTCACTGCTGAACCTTGGTGCCGGTCTCTGCCAGGCTGCTTGGATTGCTTCAACTTTGGTTTATGCTTGGATCTTTGATTTGGGTAGCCTTCAGGATGCAGAAATCCAACTTAGCATATTCGTATATTACTTATATATTGTTTGATTCCTACACTGGCTTCTTGTGGTTTTCCTATGTTATCCAATCCTCAATTCTGCACCTGCTTGTTAGCTTTCCATTGTGATCCAAACATTCCCTATAAATGTTATTGGATGGCAGGATAAGTTTTAGGTTCAAAAGGAAGATAAATAAATGCAATTTAATTGATGATTTTCATATGTAGTTTCATGATTATTGAGTATGTTCTATTCTTCTCTATAATCTTTATGATATTGTGATTATATGGAGTTACGGACACATGGTATTATAAAATGCACATCTACTTATGAAGTTTGTTGTATACATGTGTGCTCATTTTTTGCAGCTTTCTGTTCAAGCCACAAGTTTATACCATTTTCACTTTTCACAAAGTGTTTGGAAATTATATAGGGGAGCTAACTTTTTGGGATTGTTCTACTTTACAGCAAGCCATCTTCCCTACAATCGGAATGGTCTCAAGTTTTTTACAAGTGATGGTGGGCTAAATAAAACTGATATCAAAGATATCCTGGAGCGTGCTTCCAAAATATATGAGGAATCTGCACATGGTAACCTGAAAGAACAGGGGGAAGCTTCAAGGGGAGTTGTGGCTAATGTTGACTACATGTCAATTTATGCTTCTGATCTTGTACAAGCAGTTCGTAAATCTGCTGGAGACAAAGGTGCTTTCATGTGCTATATTTTAAAACTAATTTTTGACTTACTAGACTAGTACACTGTTGGATTTCTTGTCTGACACATTAACTTTTCATGTCCAGTTATCCACTGACAATTTCTTCAATCTATTTGATTACTTTTGTGTGCTCAATCAAATTCAGTTAGTTATACCTTTCGTCCTCCACTTGCGCTTTTTAGCCCCTTAGGGCCTGTTTCGATAGAAGGTGAGGAGACCCCCTTCCATCTAAACAAGCCCTTACGATTTGTTGCAATACCAACTTATTGTTTGAGTTTTTCTTTATCTTATAGTTATGATTTGTAGACACCATCTTATTTTGCATATACACCATGCCAATTTTCAACATTTTATATTCTTAGTTGTTTATTTTCTGCACTTCTTTACAAACAGCAGAAATTATCTTTTCGTTTCTGGGTAATCAATTTCTACTAGTGTTCAAACAAATCTGTCCATGTGGGTGATAGATATAGTGAAATTTTCTGAAATGATTGAATGTCAAACATTAATATGACACAACTTATAGCCTTCAGGGAAACAAACAAATGAAACAACTTATGATGGTTATGTTTTTTTTTCTTTGGCCTTAGAAAAACCATTGGAGGGACTGCATATAATCGTTGATGCAGGGAATGGTGCTGGTGGTTTTTTGTGGTAATGTGTTACACTTCCAAAGTCCTGTACCAATTTACATCTTTTAGCCTTGGTTCATTTGTTATGTTGTATATCATTACCTGCGGTCAAATGGTTGATCAGTCTATTGAAATGCTTCACACTCTCCTCTCTGCAGTTTAATATAAGGTTCTGTTTGGCATTGAGATGGATTATTGAATATTGATGATATTGTTTGGTGGAACTTCTTTTAAAAATACTAATGTTGGCTAACTGTTTTTATTCTAATCTATCTTGCATATTAATATGTTTCATCTTACACAACACGTGTGAGAAAATCAACAACTCAGCAGTTGTGTAACACATTTTATCTAGACTTAATTGGATTTCCCTAACAATCTATGACATCTTCATTATTTGCTTCCTATATTGCAGCCTCAAAAAATAAAAGACTTAATTGGATTTCCCTAACAAACTATGACATCTTCAGTTATTTGCTTCCTATATAGCAGCCTCAAAAAATAAGTGCAGCATGGCACAGCAGCCGCAAACAGACCCTTAATGTAACAGCTAGAGAAATCAAATTGTTTAAGTTTGAATTTTCAACCATTCCCCCCCTCAGAACACGCAATTTCCAACCATGTAGGATAGCAGATAACATTAACATTCAATTTTCATTCAAATGTTCAGTCGAGAATTTCAATCTGCTCTATATAAAGCAAGTCGGTATCTATCCATTTCTAAAACTCCATCCTAGAGTAATTTCCCAATTCAGAGTTCTACATTTTTCTTTGCTTGATTTTCCTTTTACAGTGCCAAACTCTCCACTGAATACATAGGAGTGATACTCCTGAAACAACTAGCTATTGATAAAAGAATGGTTTTATGTTTGTGGTTTTTTGTATCAGGATAAGGTACTCAAACCATTAGGAGCTGTTACTACTGGAAGTCAATTCCTTGAGCCTGATGGTAATAGCTTATTGTTTTCTTCACGCAATTATAATACTTTTGGCCTTTCTCCCATTTCTTATACACCACTTATTTAGGTTTGTTTCCCAATCACATTCCCAACCCTGAGGACAAAACTGCAATGATGTCTATTACACAAGCAGTTCTTGATAACAAGGCAGACTTAGGCATTATATTTGATACTGATGTCGACAGGTACAATATAGCTAGTCTTTGAGGTTCTGCTGACGTCTAACAGGTTGGAGCCTAAACCTTACCTTTTGCAGGTCTGCTGCTGTTGATTCGAGTGGTCGTGAATTGAATCGTAACCGATTGATTGCTTTGATGGCTGCCATAGTTCTTGAGGAAGTAAGATTCTTTTCCGAGTTGCATAATGTTTTATTTTGTACTACTTTATTGATTGCCACTAACTAAATCCATTGCTCTGGTGCTAGCATCCAGGAACTACAGTTGTGACAGATAGTGTGACTTCAGATGGATTGACTGTATTCATTGAAAATAAACTTGGTATGTACTGCTCACAATGTCGTGCTTTGGTTGAGTAAATAATCATTTACTTATCTATTTTTTTCTTAAGGAGGGAAGCATCACCGTTTCAAACGAGGTTACAAGAATGTAATAGATGAGGCTATTCGTCTGGTTAGTTTACACTTTTCTATGTAATTGAGTTAGTCCCTGGATCCCCCCCCACCCACCCACCCACCCACCCACCCCCACACACACACACACACACACAAAATTAACTAGCAGTAGGATGAGATTTAGAATATGGAAAAATTTCAGAATTCTATTGGTGAGGAGTCACATTTGGCCATGGAAACAAGTGGTCATGGAGCACTGAAAGAGAACCACTGGCTTGATGATGGAGCATACCTTATGGTAAGGACCGTTGGTCTACTACTCATTGAACTTTGCGAACAATGCAAGGGGGAATAATATGAAAAATGGATAATCACATCAACATTTCATGCATGAGGAAAGTTTGTCTTTTGTATTACCTGGTAAAGAAGTTTGTCCATGATGTTATGTTCTTCACACATTCAATCTATAAATGATAGATGTATGAGGCTAGTCCTTGTTAGAGTGACTCATATTACTTTTAAAATTTGTGGCGTTCTATTATTCGTGGTTTCATCAAAAACTAGGACTGCATCTTCTTTTGCAAATATGAGACTTAAATTTCTCCTTTCCCTTAGGTCAAACTTCTGAATAAACTTGCTGCTGCTAGAACACTGGGTTCAAGTATTGGTAGTAAAGTTTTGACTGATTTGGTCGAGGGTCTTGAGGAAGCTGCTGTGACAGCTGAGATAAGATTGAAGATTGATCAGAATCATGCAGATTTGAAAGGAGGGTATGTTAACTCTGAAGTGTTTTTTGGTTATTTCTCAAGGACATCATTTGTGCACTAGTAGTTTTCTAGTATTGTGCACTTAAACAGAAACGATCTTTGTGAATGAATGGTAAGTTAGCTGAAACATGAGACGTTCTTATTGACTGCAGTCGGTGAATTTTTTTTGGAAACTGAAAAAAAGAAATATGATAGGTATCGTTTTTGAATTTTCCATAACCAAACGTGTAATCCTTGATATTGAGAACTCAAGTTCACATATCCCCCTCATTGCTCATAGTTGTATACCTGTTAATCTTGTGATTTTATCTAAGCAAACCAATACTACAATTCTCTGGCTGTGAATGCATCGTTTCTGGCTTATGGAAACATCTAAGTTTAATTAGGGAAACGAGCTGTAATGTGAAAATAGGATTGGGGGCATCAGTTTACTCCTGGGAACATATTCCTTTTTGGATGTTGGAGGTGGCTATTGTATAACAATGTTTAGCTTTATTATAAGACTAATAAAACAATGGGTCATTATAGGTAAAATAGGATTGGGGTGACAGTAACTCAATTAAATGCTTTGCCCCTGTTGTTTGACATGTTATCACAGTGGGTCATACAGCCTGTGAAGATTTTAAACATTTGTGATTTGGTTTCTCTACAGGTCCTTCCGTGACTATGGAGAATCAGTCTTGAAACATTTAGAGAATGCAATCAGCAGAGATCCAAATCTCCATAAAGCCCCTAAGAACTATGAGGGCGTATGTCCATATTCTTTGCTTTGTTTTTCGAAACTTCAATATAGATCTTGATCTATAATTTTTCTTCTGCGAGAAAGCTGGATTTTTGCTTATTTTATGGCATACTATTATACACAGGTAAGGGTTTCAGGATATGGTGGGTGGTTCCTGCTGAGGCTCTCTCTCCATGACCCTGTTCTTCCCCTAAACATTGAGGTAGTTCTTTTCCCCTCCTCTGTCAATCCTTATAATGAAGACAATTGAGAGTCATCTGATGTGCGCATACTATAGGCACCAAGTAACGATGATGCGATTAAACTGGGGCTTGCGGTTCTTGCTGCTGTGAATGATTTTTCAGCACTGGATGTGACGGCACTGAACAAATTCGTGCAGCAGTGAACATAGGGACATTGGCATCATTCTGTGAGCAGCTTCGCATGGTGTCTTACTCAGCCCGGTCATGCGTGGCACGAGTATCATACAGAAATATACCTGTTTACACAGACTTTTTAGTCTGGGAAGGACAAGGGAGGTTCCAGTGACTTTTCTTCTAAGATGATTTTTTCGTGTTTATACCAACAATCTGATTAAGAATATGAGTGCGTACTGGTGAGGCTGGTCTTTACCTGAGAATAAGATTTGAGTTACCCGAATAAGATCAGGAGGCTTGCTGTGATGTGAGGCCATGAATTTGGCAAAAAGAACCTCTCGATTTTTCATTAACGTTTTCACCTTGATTTGAGTTACCCATTCACTATTCTTTGTCAGTGCCTTATCGTAACATTTCTTATGTCTCTGCATGAGGGATGCTGCCGAGCCTAATATGGCTTTATATTTACCTTTTTTTTGGAAGAAGATATATAGTAGAACACATTGGAATTTTTCGGGTAACCTTTTGCTTTCTTTACGAAACCCTGGTAGGATACAATAGCAGCACACCTGTACAGTCTAAAGAGTGCTCACCGTATTCTCGCAAATTTGCTACGTTTCGCTGTAAAAGAAGAGCCTGGACGTAGTACAAATTTGTCGTTTGGTGTAACATGAACGCCACCGACCGCGGATGGTGGCATATGACGTGGACACCGGGCAAGGCATGTGCCGTACAAGTCTGGGCCCACGTCCACCGCCTCGCCACTGTTAGCTGAGAAGTCTAAACTCGAACTTGTCCATGCACATGCATGTTAGTCTCGTATTCAGTACAGCTACTCAATTGAGCTAGGAATTTGTTGTAAACGTTTTCTTCATATAGACGAAGGAATTTGTGAAGTTGTAAACGTTTTCTTAGCAACGTTTACAACGTTTTCAGGCATCTATGAAGGAATTTGTTGCAGTTATATATATGCGACATCTAAGCTTTGTCCAGGAGAGCGATGAGGCTGCAAGGGAATTTGTGAAGTTGACCCTTCTCCAGTAAGACGCTCGTCAGCAAATGCCCTCCAATATCATCTTCACAGTATCTTTTTTATTTGGTAGTGATCCATGGAAGAACTCCGCCTATGGTGGGGCGCCTTTGGTGTCCCAGCATAGCAGGTTCCAAGCCCTGATAAAGGAGGAGGGTTGTGTTAGGCGTGGCGAGCCAATGTAAAAACTTAGCCACTTTAATGGAGATGAAACCCGAAAAAAAATCGTTGGGGCGTAACCCTCTTAGCGACGCGCCATATCGGAACCCGGGTATGGTGTTAAATAGGCAAGGGCCGGGTCGTCACCCCCTTGCCCGGTGTCAAGTGAGCAAGGATCGGGTCGTCGCTTCCTTAGTGGCGCGCTACATCGGCGCCCGGGTGTAGTGAAAAATGAGCAAGGGTCTTCGCATCTGAGTCGACGGGTGCGAAGGGTAAGGAAGCTAGTCGAACCAACTAGGATCCGTTTAGGTAGTTGGAATGTAGGGTCACTTACAGGTAAGTTAAGAGAATTAGTTGATACCGCGACTAGGAGGCGTGTAAATATATTATGCGTTCAAGAGACTAAATGGAAGGGTCAGAAGGCGAAGGAGGTGGACAATACAGGTTTCAAGCTTTGGTACACAGAGACAGTCGCGAATAGAAATGGAGTAGGAGTTTTGATTGATAAGAGCCTCAAGAATGGTAGGGAGTGAGAAGGCAAGGAGATAGGATTATCTTAGTCAAGCTTGTCGTTTGTGATATGGTCTTGAACGTAATTAGTGCGTATGCCCCCCAAGTAGGCCTCGACGAGAGTGCTAAGAGACAGTTCTGGGAAGACTTAGATGGCCTGGTTAGAGCTATACCTAGTAGTGAGAAGCTTTTTATAGGAGGAGATCTTAATGAGCATGTAGGTACTACAAGCGCAAGTTTCGAGGCAGTTTATAGAGGTCTTGGGTATGGTAGTAGGAATCAGGAGGGGGAGGAAGTTCTGGACTTCGCGGTAGCTTTTGACCTGATGATAGCCAACACTTTCTTTAGAAAGAGAGAATCTCATCTAGTGACCTTCAATAGCGAACAACACTGTAGCCAGATTGACTTTGTCCTCGCAAGAAGAAAGGACAAACGGGCATGCTTGGATTGCAAGGTGATACCAGGGGAGTGTGTTGTTTCTCAACATAAGCTTTTGGTGGCAGATTTTCGTTTTCAGGTGCATGCCCGTAGGGATAAACAAGCTAAGATTTAAAGAACAAAGTGGTGGAAACTGAAAGGGGAGACGTCAGAGGTATTCAGGGAAAGGGTTATCAAAGAGGGCTCTTGGAAGGAAGAAGACGACATAAACAACATGTAGGAGAAGATGGCAACCAACATTCGGAAGGTGGCCTCAGAGGTGTGTGGAGTAACCAAAGGAAGTGGAGGCGAGGCTAAAGATACTTGGTGGTGGAACGAGGAAGTCCAAAGGGCTATTAAGGAGAAGAAAGAATGTTATAGACGCTTGTACCATGATAGGAGTGTGGACAACATAGAGAAGTACAAGGTGGCAAAAAAGACTGCAAAGCGAGCTGTAAGTGTAGCAAAGGGTAGAGCGTACGAGGATCTTTACCAACATTTGAGTACGAAGGAAGGAGAGAAGGACATTTATAGGATGGCTAGGGTTCGTGAGAGAAAGACACGGGACTTCAACCAAGTTAAGTGCATTAAGGATGAAAGGGAGCATCTTTTGGTGAAGGAGGATGAGATCCGACATCGATGGCAAGAGTATTTTGATAAATTGTTCAATGATGAGAATACGGACACAACCTTTCAGTTGAATGACTCTTTTGATGACACCAATAGGCACTTTGTGCGGAGAATCCAAGAATCTGAGGTCAGAGAGGCGTTGAAAATGATGAAAGGAGGTAAGGCGATGGGACCAGATGGTATCCCAATTGAGGTGTGGAGATGCCTCAGGGACATAGCTATAGTATGGCTAACCAAGCTGTTCAACCATATTTTTCGATCGAACAAGATGCCTGATGAGTGGAGAAGTATATTGGTACCGATCTACAAGAATAAAGGGGATATTCAAAGTTGTACTAATTATCGGGAAATTAAGTTGATGAGCCATACTATGAAGCTATGGGAGAGAGTTATCGAGCATCGCTTGAGAGCAATAACGCGGGTCTCTGTGAACCAATTTGGTTTCATGGCCGGAAGGTCAACCATGGAAGCCATTTTCTTAATAAGACAAGTTATGGAGCGGTACAGGGAGAAGAAGAAGGACCTACACATGGTTTTTATTGACTTGGAGAAGGCTTATGATAAAATACCAAGGAATGTTATGTGGTGGGCTTTGGACAAACATAAAGTCCCAACGAAGTACGTCGGGCTCATTAAGGACATGTACAACAATGTTGTGACTAGAGTTCGAACAAGTGATGGAGACACAGATGACTTCCCGATTAGGATAGGACTACATCAAGGGTCAGCTTTGAGCCCTTATTTGTTTGCTTTAGTGATGGATGAGGTCACAAGGGACATACAAGGGGACATCCCTTGGTGTATGCTTTTCGCGGACGATGTAGTGCTAGTTGATGAAAGTCGGTCAGGAGTGAATCAGAAACTGGAGTTATGGCGGGAGACTTTGGAGTCCAAAGGTTTTAGACTCAGCAGAACTAAAACTGAGTATATGAGATGTGACTTTGGCACTACTACTCGGGAGGAGGAAGATGTTAGTTTGAAAGGTCGAGTAGTGCCTAGGAAGGATACCTTTCGATATTTAGGATCAATGCTACAGAAGGACGGGGACATCGATGAAGATGTTAGCCATAGAATCAAAGCAGGGTGGATGAAGTGGCGGCAAGCGTCTGGTGTCCTATGTGACAAAAGGGTACCACATAAGCTAAAAGGCAAGTTTTATAGGACGGCGATTAGACCTGCTATGTTGTATGGTGTAGAATGTTGGCCTACGAAAAGACGACACGTTCAACAGCTAAGTGTCGCGGAAATGCGTATGTTGCGTTGGATTTGCGGTCATACAAGAAGGGATCGAGTTCGGAACGATGATATACGTGATAGATTAGGGGTAGCGCCAATTGAAGAAAAGCTTGTCCAACACCGGTTGAGATGGTTTGGACATGTGCAACAGAGACCCCCAGAGGCACCGGTGCGTAGTGGAATCCTAAGCCAGGATAGTAACGTGAAGAGAGGCAGAGGAAGACCGAAGTTGACTTGGGTAGAGGCAATAAAAGGAGACTTGAAATGATGGAATATACCCAAAGACTTAGCTTTAGATAGGAGTGCTTGGAAGACAACTATTCACGTGCCTGAACCTTGATTGCTTCTGATGGGTTTCAACTCTAGCCTACCCCAACTTGTTTGGGACTTAAAGGCTTTGTTGTTGTTGTTGTTGTTGTAGTGATCCATGGAAGCTAACTGCATGCTAGTACAGAGCGGCATAACGAATTACTAGCATGAGTGATCAATCCATTGGAAGAGACAAAGCGGGTGAAGACGGCCAGGAAACACACAAAGATCCGAGTCATGCATCACGCTACACCTCACAAGCTTCAACTGCTCCGCTAACTCATAAGAATCCTACGCAAAAGCCGGCTGGGTCGTCTGATCCTTTCGTTTTGGGACGGTGCAAGAACCTTTTTTTCTTTTAATGACGAGAAGCCTAGGCCTAGGACTAGTTTGCTATTTCTTATGTTCCATTGAAAAGCTAACTATATGTATAACAACAGAGAGAGAGAGTTAGTGCCTTGCTTAAAAGTAATCAGGCCGTACGTGCTAATTAACCCTGCATGATTTCGAGAAATAAGTGAGAGTAGATCTTGTGGGCAGCAATCAGTTATTGGACTACAAATGTTTTCCATCTGTTTTTTTTCGGCGGGTACTCCTTCCATTCAACATATGAGGTGCCGCAATGTTTTTTTACGGAAGTGAAGGGGATTATATTAATACTCAGCAATGGTACATCGCTAAATTACATATAAAAAAATCTAAAGTAAAAAATAAACATTATTCTTACTAAGCCATTTC